AGTAAATGAATGAATATTAAAGTACTGATAATCAAATATGTGTACACACAATATGTGTATATTTATGTGTGTTAATGAGTTAATTTAATATAATTTATATATTGTGGCTTTTATATTTATTAATGTATAAACATATTAACCTAATTTAACACAATTATGAGCCTCACGCCTTTTACCTGTTTTAAAAATAAATGCACACATTAATAAGTTTTTTTAACAACAAAAGATGTTTTTGGTTTACTTATTAATATATGTTTAATTATTATATGTTTTTGTTATTAAATTTTTAGCTGTTTTAACTTTTATTAATTTTACACAAAAATAAATTCTATTTTTAAGATGAAAAAAGCGGCGATCTTATCTGCAATTGAAAAGTGTTATCATAATTTAATTCTTGTTGAATAAATTAATTCATATTTAATTACGCGATAACAGTACAACGAGAGAGAGAGAGAGAGAGAGAGAGATCGGAATAATATTATAATTTTCTAAGGAATACAGATGTGCATGAATACTCGGAAAAAAGAAGCAAACACAATTTCTAAATGGATTACAATGGAAGACTAATTATTAAAATTATCAAACAAGATAATTTAACATTTTTCTTATTTTTAATTAAAATGTTATATATATTTTTAAATTATTATAATATATAGCGAAACATACAATTAATACATAATAATTTATTACACAAGTTATAATGATACAAACATTCACTTAAACAAATGCATTAATACTCAATAACAGCGTGAAAATATATCTTCCGGAAAGTCTAACCATTTCCGAACGAGAAAACCAGATTCGATCTCACAGTCGTTGATTATCGGAAGCCGGCAAAATTATCGCTAGCTCGCTACAAGCCTCGTCACGCAAGCCACGCCACGAAACACTCAGATATTTTACAAGCATTGCGAGCTACAATTTACGTGCACTATACTGAGCGTAATTTAAACATCGATCCAGTCGTGATATATTACATGCGCAAAACACACGGCGGAGGTGAACGAGAGTCTGGCGGTGGCGCGCTATTTATAGGGTACCGGTTGGTCGTTCGGCACGTGCGAATATGCGACAGACACGCCAGGCATAGTTGTCGTGATCAGATTCGCAAACTCGCGTGATTATGGGAGATGCACGGGTGTACAGCAATGATCAATACTACAAACATCGACCGATTTATTCCCCTTCCGGACATAGGGCGAAAAACGGAGAAGGCTACCGAAATTGGACTGTCGTGTAAATTACGTCGGTCTTGTTGAACCGACGATAATTTTACACTATAAGTGGAAAATATATCAAGCGCACTGTTTTGTCCAGTCTCCCAATACATCACAAAAGTGGTGTCAATTTATGTAAAATCTTAGAAATCGTTTCCTATAAAATTTATTCTATTTCCGTTATTCTATTTCCAGCAGCCATAAGTACATTTTCAATTTCCATAAATCGTTCTATTAAACTCATAGGCTATCTCTTTAAAATTTATTGAAATAGCAGCGTATTTTATTTACTGCTGTTTTTTAATAAAATATCAATTTATAAATTTATCTTAATAGAAAATTTTTATTAAAGTTTAATCAATTTTAATGAAATCATGTAAATCATGTAATGAAATTATGTAAAAGACAAGAAAGATAATGACCGACCACATATAGTTGCACAAACACAAACTTGCTTGTAACGGTTAGGAATAGCGATGTGGACAAGACATTAACATTTCAGGAGAGTAACCACAAGCTACATTTATCATTCTACATCACATTACAGCACCGAGTTTGAACAAATATATTATTTCAGTGCTTGATACACCGTCGATTTAATTGTTTAATTGTATTTGAATATTACGAAATTTTTGCGAACTTTAAAAGAGAAATGTTCTCGCTGAAGTATATCCACAAAAATTAAAATTAGTATAATAATTCTGGGATTACACCGTGTAAGCCATTTTTTTATTTTATCAAGACTGCCAATAGAATGCAATTCATCGAAATATTTATTTCTTCATGTTCAGCAAAATTATTATAAAATACTCTGCTAAACCGTTAAACGATCAAGAACGTATTTACCAAATTCAGCAAATCCTCTTTTCGACAGAAATCCACAGTATATAATCACCGTATTATTAATTAATACGACCTGGCTATTCGCCAGCGGTCGCTGTCTACATTTTCTATGACAATTCGAGCCTGTTAGCATCGCAAATGGACAAGTAACTGGGTCAATAACTGCACCGTCGTCTGTTTTAGTATATAAAAAATGACCAAAAAGGCACACAATGATATCATTGAAATCTGTATGTTATATTTTTCTATTTTTTTTTTAAGACTTTTTAAAATAACGAGCAACGGTGAAGCGACCCAACACATTATGAAGTTACTACCTACAAAATCGTAACCTTGCATGTGCCTAGCACGTGTGATAATTTTCATGGACGAGTTGATTTCGGAGAAGCGCAATAAGATAAGTTTTGAATATCTTGCTCTCTAAAGTAGGAACATCGTAGTAATTTCCATCCTAGCAATTTCCATCCTACTTAAACGTGCTCCGAAGTTGAACTTATAGCACTTTCAAAAGTTAATCCGTTCTTATTAATGTTGTATATTCAGAACTTTCGATCTTAGCAACGCAAGATATAAATACGATAAAGGATATAAACATAAATAAAACACGAGGCAGCAAAAATGATCTATGTATAATGCATAAAATCGAAAAAACTATAAACTTCTTTTTATTGTTATTTATTCTTTAGATATTATTCTTATATTCCCCTTGCGTGCGTAAAAAGAAATTTTATTACGATCGAAGAAAGAAATAAAAAATATGATATTAAAATAGAAATAAATAATATTGTTAACCAAATCTTACAAATATAAAATTTCATCTTTTTTGTTTTTCATCATTTTAATACATTGAAATGAAGAAGATAAATTTCAAACTACTGGAATCCGCGTGACTTTTATATTTTTATTCTTAATAAGAAAATTTAGTAGATATTTGTTATGCTGCATATGATAAGGTAATCAGCAGGATCGAATGCGCAGAATTTACCCAGTAAAGCTTACGAAATGATTTACCTACGGCCGAGATAGAATTTAAGAGTTAATCTAAGGATCTGGAGCACGTGGCATCATGCGTTATAGTTCTAATGGCTGGGATTATCCCAGATGAATATTATGCAGCTAGAGATGCTTGGTTTCTTCGCTAAAAGCGCAGCAAAGGAAGTGAAATCTCGAGACAGTGGGTAATAAAAAATTTTGCGCGGAATTCACACAAAGAAGAAAGTAAGAAGATAAAAAGATAAAAAGTGAGAAAGGATGGCGCGCAAAACCACGGCGAAGGTTCCTCGTTGGAAAATATACATTTGTCCTTTCATAGCGCGAATTCGGATTATCGGAAAAAGCGCGGCTGCGAAGTGTGCGTTACCGGCAAAGTGAATTTTTGCGAAAGCATCTCGGTTCGCCTTCGATTCGGCCATTGGAGAGAGTCGCGACTGTGTAATAGTTGTTTTCTCAGTTAAAAGCCTCGGCTATAGACGAGCTCTACTGCGCGGCAAAATAAGTTGCAACCTCTTACAAACTACTCTTGCAGAAGGCACTCTGTTGCATCGTGATATAATGTGTGGTAGGAAAGAGTATACAGCATAGAAAAGGTTCTTTTAAAACACAATTGTAGTTATGCTCTTCGTTGTATTTATCTTACTATGTACGTAATAAAATAAATACAACGAATCAAATTAGATAAAATACTATATATATATATAGGAGAGAGAGAGAGAGAGAGAGAGAGAATGTGTATAAGATAATAGTTTATTTTCATAGACAAAAATATTAAATTAAAATTTATGCTCTTAAAGGCTCTTAAATAATCTTGTTTTACCGACTTCCGTTAGTAATGGCAATTATTTTTAAAAAGTCGATACTAACCGCGATCATAAATTTACATGATACTTTAAGGAAACTTGGTGGAGCCGATAGTAGGTCCTTGATATGAAAATGGTCTTAAGTACGCCATTACGATCAACAACGCGGTACCTTTCAAAGTACAGGATGTTTAACAATCGACTTATTCCGATATAACAAATCGCTTATAACAGAAAAAGCAACGAAAAATGGAATAAATATGACAACGCTGACTACGTGGAACTATAGTGTTCTACGATTTTCCATGTTCGCAATAATGATGCTTATGGAATCCGAGTTCGGCTCTGCTCCGATTTATAACTAACGCCGACATTTCATCGGCAATGTATTGTAATTCAAAATTCTAACGGAATTCGAAACGCGCGAAACATGTACATCCGGCGCGCAAATTCTTCTTGCCGATGGACCGTTGTATTTCGCGTCAATATGCAATTTGTTACTAGCTGCAGATCCACAGCGCGGCACGCAGTTTTCACGCTTGTAAATCTACATTTTTTTTTTTTTTTTATAAACGTATATGCATCGTCATTTTGCATGAACATATCTAACAAATGTCACACAATAGCTGTCACATACAAACTTATTTACGATGTGTTAGTTAATATTGTAATATAACAAATAAAACGTTAATCTTTTTAGACACATAAAAATAATATTCAATTTTCAACTTTCTCTGTAAAATTTTATTTTATATTCTAAGCTTCCACTCACGTACTACAGCAACGAAGAGATTCGACAATATAATACACATACACATATATTCTCTCTTATTCCTTCTATTTCCTGATATTATATTTTATATTTATTTATATATTTAATATTTAATATTTATTTTTATATAAATAAAATATGTTATTAATATTAAATATATTATATTACTCTTTTTAACGACAAATGTTATTCATTGTATTTATTGTTTTCGCGTGATGGCATATTATTGCATCGCGATCGATGTAGATAGCCCGAGAATTAAATTACACGGCGAGAGATGTAAAAGCGTTAGAGCAGTTGTGGACAGTCTGGTTAACCTGTTAACCCGACTGTAATAATAACACAGCTTGTGATTGATTACCCATGTTCCAGGCGTACGTCGATCTGGTGAAGGCCTGGGGCTGGAAGAGTTTCACCATTATCTACGAGAACAATGAGGGGCTCGTGCGATTGCAGGAACTTCTGAAAGCTCATGGACCTAGCGAATTTCCTATTACGGTCAGACAGCTGAGCGAAGGATCGGAGTATCGGTGAGTTTGGCTCAGTCCGTTCTTATTCTCCTTTATGGCACGCTAGTTTTTTTTCCGACATAATGAGCTCGTCGCATTTAAATCCTCCGCGCGTCTCGATATTTTAACGAATATTTCTCTCATTCATTATAAGATGATTCTTACAAATTTACATTTTACTTTGTATAATTTAAGTGACGCGCTTTCAAAATAATTAAATTTATCAATTTCTCTATCTTTCTACTTTTTGAGCATTATTTTAACATTTCTGAGTTTACACTGAGAATTGATAACAATAATATTGCAAATGAAAACGCCGCGCTTAAGCCGGCTGTCACCCCTTGCTACTAGAATTTGCTTTCTGGGTTAGATTGGGATGGTTTAGATTAGAGTGCTTCACTTTTTTCAAGTCCGTAAAATAAACCTACTGCGATTATTCCGCTCTATCACAATTTAAATATGCGCAAAATTTAAAGGAATTGGACGCATTTGTAACCACATTCCCAAAAGACAGACCGACTAAATTATACAGCAACAAACTAGTTTTTTTTTCTTTGAAACAGCAATATTATATAAGTCAATTCGATTTATACTTCGTCCAACTGAATTAAAAGATATAAAAAGATGAAGAAGAAATTTTACATAACGAAAGAATATGTCGAAAAATTCATCAATTTTTTGGAATTTTTCCTCTCTTTATCGAGTTTCAACGAAATCACAGCATGAGCGTTTTTACAAAAACATAGCTATCTTTTGCTTGAATTGATTATTCGAGGTTTAGTTTCTGAGACGTATTAGATATCAATTTGATCGATACGTTCTCGTTCGTTTACAAGCGGATAGATCTCTCCCGTGTTCGACACTTCGAAACGATCTGATGAAACCGGCTTTCCATGATTAATATTATCGTGGCATTAACGGTAAGCCCAAACATCAGTCGTATCATACGCGGCGCACCGCACGAGTGCACACCGAGAATGGCCCATTAAGATTGAAACGTCGTTGTTGGCGTGTAACGTTTATTGGGACGATGATCTTCTTAGGCAGAATCGCAATGTGGACGTGGCAGTATCGATCGTCCGGCCGCTTCGCCGGTGGGAAACTGTGTCAACTGTGAGGCAACCAATGGGCGAATCTTCCCCGTTCCATTTTGCCCGATAATTCCTTTTCTCCTCTTATCCTTTCGGCGATGATGACGCCGGAACTGCCTCAAGAAGCTCGCGATTACGATTAAATCTGTAATTAAAATTAAAATTCTATTAATATAAATAATATGATACAATCGAAATAAAATAAAGAATAAGTTTTATTATGTTTTTCCATTCTTCAGGCTAAATTGGCAAAAATCTATAGATTTATGAAATTAAGAAAGAATATTTTAAAACACTCGATATTTTTTTAAAGATGAATTTTTAGAGTCCTAAATAATTCGTAGATAAAAAAAAAGCGCACGGAGTTAGAGATAAGTTTCTATACTAATCTACTCTACGAAGTCTATTTTAAGGGTGCGGAAATATATAGAAAAGCTGAATAACTATTTATAAACGTATCGTTCTTTTTTTTTAAAGCCAATATATAAAGCGTTCGTTTAAAGCGTTGTTTCCGTTTACAATCTTGACCTCTGAAAGTGTTGCAGAAATGTATCTATACTTTTGTGCCTTGCATCGTACCATATTATACGTTTTGAGGAAAAAGTTTCTCGTAAGTTGCATTATTCATAGAGACCATCCATGACGGTGACTTATTGCTGCCGCCCTACGGCTAGAGAAGGGTAAAACGATAGGGATTTGAATAAATTCGGTTAGATTTGCCTCTGGACGTGCGACGTATCCTGTCTTAAAATTCATCGCTCGCGCTACACTCTCCTTGTTTCAGCAAAGCGACCAATTTACAAAACTTCCGCGCGGCTCATACCGCATGCGATACATTGTACCGAGCGAATGCGCATCTTTCTCTCTCGGTGAAGTAAGACCGTTTCGAAGAGATAAAGAGATTTTTGTATAAAACGCGTTAATATCTTTAAAATTCCGCTTTTTGAATTTTTTTTGTTATTAATCTTCAAGCAATCGCGTGGATCGATCATAAAAATTAATATTGCATTCTGACGCATAATTTTATACGTACAAATATAAAATACTAGTTTTAATCAATTTTAAATCATCAGTGCAGTTTCGTAAACAATAAGTATTAAGAGAATAACGCGGATGACTTGTTTTAATAATTTACATGTTACTTGAACCGCAATACCGTTGGCGTTCTTGGCGGCTTCGCGATCGTGTCTCTTCTCAAGATGTTGAAAGATTAACTTCGATGCACTGACTTCGTACAGTTATTCCCCGACGTGAACGAAGGAAATGAACGACGCTCGTGGAGGATAGCGCAGCCGCGAGGCGGAAATGAAGTCGTATCTTATCTCGGTCCCACACCCTCCGACACAACTCACCGAGATTCCCAAAGTGAATAATTCTCCGGCCATTCATTTTGGCGTTCCGTTTTAGCGCGAACGTTCGCGGTATGGACAAAGGGAGGGCGAATGAAACCCGCATGGAAACAGAGACCGGCGATGGTGAAATAAAATCGTCTGTCCTATTTTTCTAAGACGAGCAGAAAACAAGCGAAGAAAAAGGAGAAACAATGCGTATTCAAAAAACTTTTTTCAAAACTTTTTTGCTCCGCAAGGATCTATAGCTACAGAAAGGGAGTCCGACAAGAGAAGGTAGCGATGCAGAAGGATCGTAAGAACTGTAATTCTTAATAAATTCGAGTATGAATAATCACAGTGAGAGCCTGATACACATGAATACTGAATAGTTCTCAAAGCAGTGAGATAAGAACGCGCGATTGTATTCATACACGTAATAGTTCTCGTTGAACTCGCATGAGCGAGAGAGATTATCTTTAAAGCTATGACTTTCGAAGCGAACGGACACCTGAAAGTGCTTAGCTTTCGTGTAGGAGATTCTGAGAGAGAAGCGGATCGACAGACTCGCGCTTTATCGTGGAGAACACTTCGACGGGCAAGAGAAAAGAGAACTGACACGGATAATCGCGGGGAAGAGAGATACGCGAATTCTATTGGCGATATACAGTTTCGCGGTTAAACCGCTTAGCCCGCGCAAACAGTTGCACTTGGCCACGCAGAACACAGGTTGACAGTGATATAAAATTTTATCTCCGGCGAACGCGCGTGATGACCGCTCAAAAATCGCTTTCAACACATCCGGGATAATATTGAACGGTGATTTTCGCGAATGACACTTTTCCACGCAACAAGTGCATCGTCGAGAACGTGGAATAGGCCAAAAATCATTTTGACAAGTCCACTTGGGACATAACTGTCAAGATAAATAGAAAATAAAGCAGTTGAATAAAATATCTACTTTTTTGCATTCTTTCCCGACATCATAAGCGAAGTGTTTATCACAATTTAAAAAAATTATACAATATACAAATTTAAATATCAACGTAGCAAAATACAAATTCCAAAAAAGTATACTGTTATACACATTTTATAAAGTTTCCTTTACGTTCTGTATATCAGCATCCAATTTTGCACATTTTATAACAGAAGTTTAAAAGTATCTCCGTAACTTACGAGTAGTGAACAAACTAAAGTTACAAAATGCATCATAGACGACTGATTTTCGATACTATTTACATTACGGATCATTTAAGAATTAATGTGCCATGCGCACGTGTTTCTATAAACGAACCAACATCGCGTTTACGCTCAGTGGCGCTTAATCTTCCGCAGATTCGGGAGAGTACGTCGAGCGGTAACTCAAACGATCTGTCTATATCGAAGTCGATTCTAAGGTTCTGTACTGAGTAAATTGCGAAAGGCTGCCGCCTGCCGCTAAGTCACTCGCTTAATAGAGAGATACAAGAAGAGATGGGAGGAAGCAACGCGTGCACGAGAGAGAACTAGTATGGCATAAGTAATTGAAATGTTTCGAAGCCGGCCGTGTGGAAATGCTCGGTTTCGATGAAATATATACACCCCGGCCCGTCTACAGTTATACGACTGGCATGATGATGAGAAGCTTCCCTCTCGGGAAGACTTCAAACGCATCAGCCAATCCGGCCGCGGCCACCAACTTCGGGATAGTTTCCGTTTGTATCCGCACGGCTGGTCCGGCAGATCTTACGTCACGTTTCCCGCCGACTCGACTTGGCCGTTCGATTGATCAAAGAAATACCGCCGACGAGAGAATGAGCGCGCAAAATACCATCTTCTTTCCTTGTTCCCCGTCTGCCTCGCCAATTAGGATCATTCGCGAGACTCTATGCGAAAGTTTTTCTTTGATCGATTATGCAATATCTCGCCGCGCTATAGACCCGCGGAACCGGAAATAAAATTAATATTTATCTACGATATCATATGTACGATACGTGTATGCACCCTGATTTTTTAGGACGCGCGTACGTGTAAAAACTACACAAGAAATCCATAGATAAAGGCATTTACGGAAAAGGAAAAATTTTATATTCTTGATATATACATACATCCATCAATTTAAAAATTCAGATTATACGAAAAATGTGTGCGAATTTAAAGCGCAGAATCGATATCATATGTGTATATTTCGAACCACCATAAATTCTAGGTCCGTTGATAAGAATAGTGATGTGTTTGGACAGGTAGAATATCCACGGCTGGTCCGGCAGATCTTACGTCACGTTTCCCGCCGACTCGACTTGGCCGTTCGATTGATCAAAGAAATACCGCCGACGAGAGAATGAGCGCGCAAAATACCATCTTCTTTCCTTGTTCCCCGTCTGCCTCGCCAATTAGGATCATTCGCGAGACTCTATGCGAAAGTTTTTCTTTGATCGATTATGCAATATCTCGCCGCGCTATAGACCCGCGGAACCGGAAATAAAATTAATATTTATCTACGATATCATATGTACGATACGTGTATGCACCCTGATTTTTTAGGACGCGCGTACGTGTAAAAACTACACAAGAAATCCATAGATAAAGGCATTTACGGAAAAGGAAAAATTTTATATTCTTG